TTTTATGTTCATTTAGGGACAGGGTGGATACTAACCGCCTAACTACTTCAATCGGAATCACCTTTTATTGGAAAAGATAACATGGTTTGTATTTTTTTTTTTTTATAGGGGTTATGATTTATTTTTATAATAATAAAAAGGTTAAATGCTTATTTTGATCCCTCAACTTTATTGGTTTGCACATTTGGATACTAACCGGCTAACTACTTCAATCGGAATCACCTTTTATTGGAAAAGATAACATGCTTTGTATTTTTTTTTTTTATAGGGGTTATGATTTATTTTTATAATAATAAAAAGGTTAAATGCTTATTTTGATCCCTCAACTTTATTAGTTTGCATATTTTTTATCCTTAAAATATTTTGTGCACATTTTTTATCTCTTAACTATAAGAAATGCCTCATACTAGTCCTTCCGTCAATTTAGGCTATTAACTTTGCCACGTGATATTTTTTATATTTTTTTAATGATATGACGAAAACAACTTAAAAAGTGATGATCTAGATTTCTTTTATGACATGTCCTACATATACCAAATTAGATTAATATTTATATTTTTAATAAAAATAAATAAAAAAACTACAAATTTACCTTAATACCCCTATCTCCCTTTCTTGATCCATCTTCTTCCCCCCTTTCCATCCATTTTCTTCCTTTCTTTCTTCTGTTTCTTTCTTCCTCTTCCTCCTCTTCTTTCTGCCTCTTCCTCCTTTGTGTTGTTGGGTTCCCTCAAACCCAGCTAATTTGGGTTCAAGGGAACCTAGCTTGGGTTCGATGGAACCCATTTGCTGGGTTCCGTCAAACCCATATCTGCTGGGTTCCAAATTTGGTTCCATCGAACCTAGATCTACTGGGTTTGGTGGAACCCAGGTTGGGTTTCGTCGAACCAAACCCACATTTGCTCGGTTCGAGGAACCCAACGCTGGGTTCCATCAAACCCAGAACCCAGCAACTGGGTTCCACCAAACCTAGGTCCACTGTTGTTTTCTTTTGTTATATATTTGTTATGAAGAGTATGCAAATTGCAAGTTGTGAGGGATTTTTGAGATCCTTTTGTTGAGTTTATGTAAATTGTAGGTTGTAAGGGATTTTTAGGATCCTTTTGCTTCATATTTTCTAACTATTGTCTAAATGATTTTAATGTTCAAAATGGAAAGAACATCGCCAACAATGGAAAGAACAGAAGCAATGACCGACGAGCAGAGAAGAAATTTTTAGTGGGTTTCCATTTGTTTGACTAGAAAATTTTACAGTTTGGCTGCCAAGAAAATGGTTTCAATCTTTTTTGTTAAGAAAATTCGATGAGGAAATTGTGATTTAATTATAAATTAATTTAGAATATCAATTTTAATTAACATAATAAATTATAGTTTAATGATGATTAATTAATGAAATATGTGAAAAATCTTTGGAATCCCAAAGAAAATCTGAATTTGAGTTTGAAGAAAATCTCTATTTTTATTGTTGAAAGAGGAACCCAAAAAACATCTTTCTTTATCGATGGTTTTTGTAAGTAACATGGGATCCATTGAACAGGCATTGGAGGAGTTTTGACGCGAGAAGATAACATGTCATCAAAAAAAAGTCGTTATCTTTTACATGTCATAAAAAAAAATATAAAAAATGCTTCGTGAACGGAGTTACTAACCCAAATTGACAAAAGGACAAACGTTATGCATTTTCTTAAAGATAAGAGATAAAAAATGTGCAAAACATACTTTAGAGACCAAAAATGTGCAAATCGATAAAATTGAGGAACCAAAATGAACATTTAACCTAATAAAAAAGAAAATGATTTACAAAGAAACTTTTTATATTATTTTTTATATAATTTTATGTATCATTTAAATAATTATTTTTTTATTCATTTGAAACTAGTGATATTAAATATATCTG